GCTCTGGACGTTTGTACTCCAGACTCAGTCCACTGCTTCTGCAGGTCCCCCAAGGTCTGGAATCGGCCCTTCTCCACAATCTTCCTCTGGGACCTGTCACTTCTTCTCATTGTTCAGCGTTTTCTGCCACACTTTTTCCTTCCCACAGACTTCCCACTGAGGTGTCTTGATACAGCACTCTGGGAACAGCCTATTGGTTCAGAAATGTCTTTCTGTGTCTTACCCTCTTGCTTGAGGGTGTCAGTGATGGCCTTCTGGACAGCAGTCAGGTCAGCAGTCTGACCCATGATTGTGGTTTTGAGTAATGAACCAGACTGGAAGTTTTTAAAAGCCTCAGGAATCTTTTGCAGRTGTTTAGAGTTAATTCGTTGATTCAGATGATTAGGTTAATAAGTCAGAACCTTTCCATGATATGCTAATTTTTTGAGACAGGGATTTTTGGTTTTTCTTTACTTTTTTGCCAAAATCATCAATTTTAAAACAATAAAAGGCTTGAACTACTTCAGTTGGTGTGCAATGAATCTAAAATAAATGAAAGTTTAATGTTTGTCAGTACATTACAGAAAACAATGAACTTTATCACAATATGATAATTTTTTGAGAAGGACCTGTATATCTTTGAAGCTCTCATGTGCCACATAAAATGCTCYGGGCCACATTTGGGCCTTGAGTCAACAGGTCTCTTCAGGGTACATCTCTCTGCATTCACGTTGTTGTCCTGCTCGAAGGTGAACCTCTGTCCCAGTCTCAAATCTCTGGAAGATCTCAACAAGCTCCTGTCAAGGATTTCTCTGTGTTTCTCCTAAATTCTGACCAATTTTCCAGGCCAAAAATAAAAACATTCCCACAGCATGATGCTGTCACCTCTGCATTACTAAAGAGATGGTTTATTCATCATGAGAGGTATTCATGGTGTTATATTTTATGTTAAAAAGGTTTGCATGTCTTCACAGCACCTTCTCTCTCATGGTCGTCAAAATGCCTTTTGCAAATTCTGAATAGTCTGTCTTATTTTTTACTCATAGTCTCATATGAGAAAAACTGTCCAGCTTCTTCATGGTTATCTTTGACTCCCACGTTTCTTGTCTGATGAATGCTCAATGGGTTTGGTGGATGACTTTCTTTCTTGTCAGGTTTGCTGTAGTGGTATAATCTGTTTATATTCCAATAAAAAAGTTATGATGCACTGTGGGATGTTCAGTGTTCTGGGACAGTGTTTAGGACAGAACCCTGATTGTCGTCTTTGACCTGTGTGTGGACATTAGTTTCCCATGATGTATCTTGCCTGTTGCCTGACACATGCAAGTACTGAACGATGCTGATTCTGTGAGTGATCAGAACATGTTTATGTACAGTACATTCTAATCATTTGACACTTGAACGCTTCACAGGTTGATCTTATTTAACTTATATGACTTCTGAAACTCATCGTTGGGATTTTAAAGTCAGATGGGCTGTGTGAATATATATTCACATGCTTTTCATTTTAAAATCTGTTAAAATTTTAGGTTGCAACAACAACAACAACAACAACAACAACAACAACAAACAACAACAACAACAACAACAACAACAACAACAACAACAACAACAAAAGACCAAGGGGTGAATATTTTTGCAGCCTCCTATATCTGTAAAGGCATCAAAGCATTTACAGAGTAGGTCTTGCTGAGCCTAAGAGACATTGTAACTTTTTTACATACTCGRGCAGTTTTCCACTTTTTATTATGCTGGCAGCCACTCATCATATTTTTAAATAAAATTGTTTCTATTAAAAAATAGCCAACTTTTAAATTGTGTGATGATTTAACTGAAAATTCATCTTGTTTATTGCAATAAAAAAAACATCAGAATTAAGAAGTGGTTTAATAAAAATTCAATGTGTAGATTTGAATTAGTTTGATGCAGCACACTAGCAAATGAAGGAATCTCTGGTCCAAAACACATCCTGCGTGATGACCTAAATTTAGGCTTTCAGCACCCAGAGCCTCTGACTATATTCTAAAATGCATTCCAAATCTTTATAGTTTTTTTTTCTAACCTCTCCGATAGAACCTGAATGCACCATATTTTATCATTCGCTTATTGTTGTGATAAAGTTTTAATGGGCGTAGCCTCAAAGTTTGATTGACGTTTACACCGACCAATAAGGCTTTGTGTGTTAAATTAAAGTCTTAGACAGGCGGAAACTGTTGACATGTATCAACCAATGAACTACGTCRAGCGCGTCCCGGCAGCCAATCAGAAGCTGGATGTCARGTGGCCGTGTTACGGGGTGGAAGTGGGAAGCTCTTGTCATTAGAGCCGAACACAGCGCTGTTGTACATGGTAAGTAGTTCTGATAAGGTGTTTTTTTATTTTTGTCTTGTATAACAGAACGGGTTTAAACTCTCGGTTTGTCGCGTTTCGTGCAAGCTAAGTGGTGTAAGAGCAAGCTAGTGTTAGCGGTACTTCCGTTACGTTGATGGGAAGGTTCATTTAACTCTGAGGATAAAAATAATTCTCGTCTATTTCCATTTCCTGTAATTGCTTTATCTAATTATAGGGGCAAATTAGTCACGCGGTATTTTCTCTTCTCCTGGTTTGCTGTATGATTTATTTAATTTGGCACAATTTGTCAGAATGAGTGACTTCATCCTGCTGCACATGTGAATTGGTGTGATTTGAATGCTCATTTTGTAATCTATTTTATTTTATTTTTAGTCTCTGTGCGGATGTCTCCAGCCACCCACTCTTTTCTTCCCATCCTTTCATTCACATCTCTGGGTTTTGTCATCTCAGATGCAGTTCATGCTCCTGTTCAGTCGGCAAGGCAAGCTCCGGCTCCAGAAATGGTACGTGCCTCTGTCTGACAAGGAGAAAAAAAAGATCACCAGAGAGCTGGTGCAGACAGTCCTGGCCCGGAAACCCAAGATGTGCAGCTTTCTGGAGTGGAGAGACCTGAAGATTGTGTACAAGAGGTGGGTGGTTATTAAAAAAAAAACTCGCTTAAAGAGCAAAGTACTTTCTGAAAGAAGTGAATCATTCTCACAACTAACTGGAGAGTTTACAACCCCCCCGCTGGTCGAATCTGTGGTTCAGTTCAGGACTCAGGAAAGGCTGAACACGGCACGCAGACCACAACAAGACATAGAGCATCAAATTCTCCTCATTATGTCCTGTTGCTGTGCCAACAGACGAGCAGGCAGACCACTGGGTGTCCCACAGGTCCTGGACCACACAGAACTTTCAGTTGTGTTTTACCTTCAACAGAGTGATTATTTATTAGGGCAAGACTAGAAGGGAATAAATCTCCTCAGTGTATTACATTAGGACGTGCACACGTTTCCCTCTCATTCAAAAATAGACTATTTAAACTGAGGATTTTTTTATTTATCACAGAAAAACTCATTCAGAATTCTATTTCTTTTATAGATTTTCACTATCTGACATTAGATCAGGTTAGGATTCTCTAAGATGTTTCTATTTGTTAAACACCCGCGTAATGAGAGATAATCTTTTAGAAAAAAATTATTACTTAATTCAAAACAAAAAGGTGAAATGTTTACATGCATTGTTTTAGTCGTTGGTAGAGTTGCATGTTTGACTTGGGACAAACATTTTGGGTATCCTCCCACAAGCTTCACACAACAGTTTGCTAGGCTGTCTTTCTTTCACAGCTGTGCTCACAGATCAGGAGTTGGATTTATAAAGCTTCCGTACGCACAAAACAAGCCCAGAAACTTGCGTACACCACTTTTCATGCAAAGGTTGTGTTTTATGAAATCCAAACTTGACGTGAAAATGTGCGGTCCTTCAGCCAGCTCTGACCCATGCGTACGCTCATTTTGGAGACGGAAGCTGAGACACAGATGGTGAAGTGAGGAATTATAGCCACACTGTGTAATGATCACTGTCAGA